CTAGGGATCCCCTGGCTTCCCCCACCTCCCCAGCCGTCTTCTCAGTCTCTGCCCCCAGGGGTGACTGCAGCGCCCAGTGCTGCCTCAGGGAGTCCTGGCCCTTGCCTGGGGCGCCCATGGCCTCCCACACCTCTGGTAGCCCCGGGTCCCGGGAGCGGGGGCCGGCATCGGTGCTGCCTTATTCCTGGAAGCCTGAAGCCACCTGGCGAGGGAGATCCAGCCCTGACCCCATGTGTGGTGGTCTTGCTGGGCCTCTGCGGCCGTGCTCATCCGGCATGTGTGCTGGGCCTGTGACCTCTGCGGCTGCGCTCGTCTGGCATGTGTGCTGGGCCTGTGACCTCTGCGGCCGCGCTCGTCCGGCGTGTGTGCTGGGCCTGTGACCTCTGGAAGGGGCAGTGCTCGTCCGGCATGTGTGTTGGGCCTGTGACCTCTGCTGGGCCTCTGTGGCCACGCTTGTCCGGCGTGCGTGCTGGGCCTGTGACCTCTGCAGCTGCGCTCGTCTGGCGTGTGTGCTGGGCCTGTGACATCTGGAGGGGGCCGCGCTCGTCCGGTGTGTGTGCTGGGCCTGTGACCTCTGCGGCTGCGCTTGTCCGGTGTGTGTGCTGGGCCTGTGACCTCTGCTGGGCCTCTGCGGCCGTGCTCGTCCAGCATGTGTGCTGGGCCTGTGACCTCTGCAGCTGTGCTCGTCCGGCGTGTGTGCTGGGCCTGTGACATCTGGAAGGGGCCGCGCTCGTCCGGTGTGTGTGCTGGGCCTGTGACCTCTGCTGGGCCTCTGCGGCCGTGCTCGTCCAGCATGTGTGCTGGGCCTGCGGCCGTGCTCGTCCAGCATGTGTGCTGGGCCTGTGACCTCTGCAGCTGTGCTCGTCCGGCGTGTGTGCTGGGCCTGTGACATCTGGAAGGGGCTGTACTCGTCCGGCGTGTGTGCTGGGCCTGTGACATCTGGAAGGGCAGTCAGGGTTTTGTCTAGGTCCCTCCGGAGCAGTGGGAGGAGGGTTTGGGGCAATTCGTCCCTTTGGGTGAGGGAAGGGTGGTAAGGCGGGTGGGGGGTGGTGAGGTGGGTGAGGGGGGTGCGGGTCCTGTAGGGGGCAGAGGGCAGAGAGCTCCTGCAGTGGGACGGGCAGGCGGGTCCCGGGGGCACAGGCAGTGCAGGGCTGGGAGCTGGGAGCTGGGTGTGGGTGCTGGTGGTGGTACTGATGGTGCAGGAGGGGGTCTGGTGTGAGCGCTATGTGTCAGATTTGGGCCCAATTATGTACTCCAATTGCTGCCACCACCTAATGGGCCGGTCCTGGTTTGGGGGCTCAGAGCCTGAGCCTGGGGTGATGGGGGCCCCGGGTTTGTGCCTGGATGGCCTGGTCCTGTCCTTCTGCCTCTGCGGCCAAAAGTCTGAGCAGTCTCCCTGCAGGCCACAGACGCTGGGGCTTCCCTCTTGCCTCTTCTCCCAGGAGCTCAGACGCTGGGGCTCTTCCCTCTTCTCCTGGGCCGTGGAGCTCAGCCTTTGGGGAGTCCCTCCCCTCTCCGCGGTGCTCCCCTGGGGCTCTCCTACAGGACAGTGAAGCTGTGAGCGGAGTGGGGTCCTCTTCCCACCAGGCACCACGGCCAATGCTGACCTCCACTTCCCAAACCCTCCAAACCCTCCAGGCACTGCGGCCAGCACTGACCTGTGCTCCCCAAACCCTCCAAACCCTCCAGGCACTGCGGCCAACACTGACCTGTGCTCCCCAAACCCTCCAAACCCTCCAGGCACTGCGGCCAACACTGACCTGTGCTCCCCAAACCCTCCAAACCCTCCAGGCACTGTGGCCAACACTCACCTGTGCTCCCTAAACCCTCCAAACCCTCCAGGCACTGCGGCCAACACTGACCTGTGCTCCCCAAACCCTCCAAACCCTCCAGGCACTGCGGCCAACACTGACCTGTGCTCCCCAAACCCTCCAAACCCTCCAGGCACTGTGGCCAACACTGACCTGTGCTCCCCAAACCCTCCAAACCCTCCAGGCACTGTGGCCAGCACTGACCTGTGCTCCCCAAACCCTCCAAACCCTCCAGGCACTGTGGCCAGCGCTGACCTGTGCTCCCCGAACCCTCCAGTCTCTGTGACCAACGCTGACCTGTGCTCCCCGAACCCTCCAAACCCTCCAGGCACTGTGGCCAGCGCTGACCTCTGCTCCCCGAACCCTCCAGTCTCTGTGACCAACGCTGACCTGTGCTCCCTAAATAGCTCCGCACACCGAGGACTTGTTTTTTCCTTTTTGATCCGTGGCAGCTTGTGTCACAGCCACGAGGCTTGTCTGCCCAGGGAGGAGCCGTGGGTCGGAGTAGCTGTGACCACAGCATGGTGGAGTCAGGTGTGGGCTCAGAGCAGGGACACACCCATGTCTGTCAGCTGATCATAGCCTGAAAGGTCAGGGTCTTTTGTTTACAAGGGGCAGAAAACAAGTCTAGAGTGTTGTAAGTAATGGGCTTACAAACCTGGAAGTCCAAGGGGCTTCAGGCACAGCTGGATCCAGGTGCTGACATTATGTGTCTTCAGGTCTCTTCCCCATCCCTCAGTGCTGCCTTCCTTATTGTGACCTCATCTTCAGGCAGGTTTTCCTGTGCCCACCCATCCTCCTGCCAGTGCCCCAGGCCTGCCTCCTCCTTGTTGACAACCTTTGTGGGAAGGGGGTGCCTCATTCCTGGTAGTTCCAGCAGAGATTCTGGGGCCACCACTTGCTGGCCATGGTTGGCCAGCCTCGATCCCATGAGCACCCCCACACCCCCAGACTGGAAAGGAAACTGTGAGGCTGAGACAGGAGGGGTGGGTCTCGACAGGTGCTGTGATGCCCTGAAGCTCCAGTGACAAGGGGGCATGTCTGGACTGGAGAGACCCCGCCCAGGATGCCTGTGCCTGTGCCCAGCGTCTCGGCCCAGCAGGTCAGGGGGGCATGTCCAGGCTGGAGGGACCCCCCAGGATGCCGAGAGCGCCCCGGCACAGCGTCTTGGGCCAGCAGGTTGGGGGGTGTGTCCGGGCTGGAGGAACCCCCCCCAGGATGCCTGTGCCCAGTGTCTTGGCCCAGCAGGTCGGGGGGGGCGTGTCCAGGCTGGAGGGATCCCCAGGATGCCCGTGCCTGTGCCCAGCGCCCCGGCCCAGCGTCTCGGTCCAGCGCCCCCGCCCAGCACCCCGGCCCAGCGTCTCGGCGCGGTGCCCCCGCCCAGCACCCCAGCCCAGCATCTCAGCCCTGCAGGTCCGGGCATCCAAGGACTATTTCCTCGGTGGGAATGGGGAGAGGGGAGCCGGGACAGTGCCCCAGAACCCAGGCTGGACTGCAGCACTGCTTCGGGGACAGAGGGAAGGAGATCCTGAGTGTGGGGACTCTCCCACCTGGATGTGGGCGCCGGGGAAGGGCTCGGGTTTGAGACACAGGAGGGCCCTGCAGGCTCCGTGGCAGCCGTGTGGTGCTGCCGGGTGTGCAAGGTGATGGCGAGTGTGAAGACAGCACAGGGCGCGGACACGGGGAAGCGGCTGCTCTGTGGCTCTGTCCCCGCCGCTCCTGATTCTGAGCACGGTTGGAACGAGGGGCAGCAACACGGTCGAGGTGAAGGCGTCTCTGCCACTGCCTGGAATGAGGGCGTGTCCCACACGCGGCCTCCTTTATGGCTGTGACCAAGGACCTGGATGTTGGACACGCCCCCTTCACATCCCAGAACACCTGCGAAAAATGTAAACGGGACAAAGCGTTTGCTTCCCGCGAAGTGGGTTTCTCTGTGTGTGTGTGTGTGTCCGGTGACTTCAGCACGCCGGAGCTGGCTTTCCTGCCACAGCGGCAGCTTGAGGCTCTGGGTGGCACAGCTTTGCTCCCAGGAAGAGCTGGGAGATCTGCTGTGTCTCTTCTACGTGGGTGGTCACAAGCCGGGTTCCCGTGGCAGGGTCTTGGGGGGTGGCGGGCTCCTCCCGTCTGCAGCTTTCTGGGGTGGGCAAGGGAGCAAGCGTAGCAGAGCCGCTTGCATCAGAGGAGGATGCAGGGCTGAGGAGAAGTCATGCATTTGGGCCAAGCATGGTGGCTCACGCCTGTAATCCCAGCCCTTTGGGGGGCCGAGGCGGGAGGATTACTTGAGCCCAGGCGTTCGAGACCAGCCCGGCCAATATGATGAAACCCCATCTCCACTAAAAAATACAAAAATTAGCCTGGTTTGGTGGCACATGCCTGTAATCCCAGCTCCCCTGGAGGCTGAGGCAGGAGAATCGCTTGAACCTGGGAGGCGGAGCTCGCAGTGAGCCGAGATCGCGCCATTTCACTCCAGCCTGCATGACAAGTGAAACTCTATCTCAAAACAAAACAAAACAAACAAAAAACATGCATTTGGGGGAATTTTGGTGGGGCGTGAACTTGAGCGTCTGAGGGGAAGTTGAAGAAGGATCAGTGAGTGAGGTAATCGCGTGGGACGTGGATGGGAAGAGCAATCACGGTGGAAGTCACTGGTGGGAGGAGGCGCCTGCAACCCAGGAGGAAGGAGACACTGAGCCTCCTGGCAGCCAGGACGAGGCTGGAAAGGTGGTGATCCCAGGAGCTCTTGTTGCTTGGCTCCGGATTTAACTGGCAGAGAAGCCGTCTGCGCTGGGGTCTGGAGCAGGTGGTTGAGAGCGAGGAGCAGGGAAGGTTGATCCGGTGCCTTCTGCCCCAGGGTTTTGCTTGTTCCTGTGTTTGCAGCCGTTGATGGGTGGGCCTTGCTGTTCCCATTTGACTCTGAGAGTTTTGGAGACGTTGCCGAAGGATGAGGCTACCAGGCTGAAACCCGACAGAGGGGGCGGGGGCCAGAGTGGAGAGGGGGTGCATCCTGGAGGGGGCAGCTGCGCACGGTGCCACTGTGGAGTTTGGGGTCCCGGGAGGTGGCTGTGGGGGTGCCCTCCGGCCCGAGTGGACTCTGGTGGGGCGGGTGGGGAGTGGGGTCCTGCGTTCTGGAGACGCAGCCATGCTGGTGCCCTGCTGTGGCCTGGCTGAGCGCGCGCTCCCTGCCCCCAGGTTCCTCCTGGTGTTCTCCTGCCTCGTGCTGTCTGTGTTTTCCACCATCAAGGAGTATGAGAAGAGCTCCGAGGGGGCCCTCTACATCCTGGTGAGCCCCGCGAGAGGGTGCGGGCTGGAGGGGCCCAGGAAGGAGCCAGAGCTGCCTGGGCATCTGTCCCTCATTCCTGTTACTACAGGGCCTCTGATGCCCCTAACCCTGGCTTCCTGTGAAGGCCTCCCCCACCCCCACCACGCGATGCCTCTCCCCTGCCCTGCTCCCTGCAGCCCCGTCCCAGCCCCCGCAGCCCCAGCTCCGGCCATGTCTTTGTGCTCTGTCAGCTCCCACCTGGCCCCAGCCCCACAGCCCCGGCTGTGCCCCAGCCCCACCCTGGCTGTAACTCAGCCCTCACCTCACCCCTCATGGTGACCTCACAGTGGCTGACAGCCCCGCCTCCATCACCCCACCCTGGGCAGGTCCACTCTCCCTCCTTCCCTCCCTTTCCCTCCCCACGTTATCTATCTCTGGAACCAGAGCTGTGGGGTGTCCCCAGCAGACGGCAGACGTGGGCGTCGGGGTGGGGGCTGTGACGCTTGTAGCAACCCTGTGCCAGGGCAGGGTGGGCACCATGGCAACAGGAGTGCAGTTCCTGTGTCGCTGTTAGTAACGGGGTAGGGGGCCCGCGAGGAGACTGATCCCCATGCGAATGCACCCCCCTCTACTGCCCGCCCTGCCCCTCTGTCCTGGGGCTGCCCAAGGTCTGGGTGGAGGCTGTGACCCCCTTTGTAGTTACCTGGGGCCTTCCCTCAGCTCAGCCCTGCTGTGCACCCCCCAACTCAGACAGGGCAGGCCCCCCACTGGCTCAGACAGGGCCTCCCAGTTCAGACAGGCCCCCCAGCTCAGACAGGCCCCCCAGCTCAGACAGGCCCCCCAGCTCAGACAGGGCCCACACAGCTCAGACAGGCCCCCCAGCTCAGACAGGGCCCCCCAGCTTGGACAGGGCCCCCCAGCGTGGACAGGGCCCCCCAGCTCAGACAGGCCCCCCAGCGTGGACAGGGCCCCCCAGCGTGGACAGGGCCCCCCAGCTCAGACAGGGCCTCCCAGCTCAGACAGGGCCCCCCAGCTCAGACAGGACCCCCCCGTTCAGACAGGGCCCCCCAGCTCAGACAGGGCCCCCCAGCTCAGACAGGCCCCCCCATTCAGACAGGGCCCCCCAGCTCAGACAGGGCCCCCCAGCTCAGACAGGCCCCCCCGTCCAGAAAGGGCCCCCAGGCCCAGATAGAGCCCCCAGCGCAGACAGGCCCCCCAGCTCAGACAGGGCCCCCCAGCGTGGACAGGGCCCCCCAGCTCAGACAGGGCCTCCCAGCGCCCAGATAGAGCCCCCAGCGCAGACAGGCCCCCCAGCTCAGACAGGGCCCCCCAGCGTGGACAGGGCCCCCCAGCTCAGACAGGGCCTCCCAGCTCAGACAGGGCCCCCCAGCGTGGACAGGGCCCCCCAGCTCAGACAGGCCCCCCAGCTCAGACAGGGCCCCCCAGCGTGGACAGGGCCCCCTAGCTCAGACAGGGCCTCCCAGCTCAGACAGGGCCCCCCAGCTCAGACAGGGCCCACACAGCTCAGACAGGCCCCCCAGCTCAGACAGGGCCCCCCAGCGTGGAGAGGGCCCCCCAGCTCAGACAGGGCCCTCCAGCTCAGACAGGGCCCCCCAGCTCAGACAGGGCCCACACAGCTCAGACAGGCCTCCCAGCTCAGACAGGGCCCCCCAGCGTGGAGAGGGCCCCCCAGCTCAGACAGGGCCCTCCAGCTCAGACAGGGCCCACACAGCTCAGACAGGCCCCCCAGCTCAGACAGGGCCCCCCAACTCAGACAGGCCCCCCCTGTTCAGACAGGGTGCCCCAGCTCAGACAGGGCCCCCCCGTTCAGACAGGGTCCCCTAGCCCAGATAGAGCCCCCAGCGCAGACAGGGAGGTGGGGAGGGTGGCCCCATGGTGTTCGTGCTCAGCTGTGTTCCCGGTTGCACGGTCTCCAGAGGGCCTAACCCTTGCTGCCCAGAGGCTAGAGAGGGATGGGGGCCCTGTGTGGGTCAGTCCAAGCTTGCAGTTTCCTTTGGGGGCCTCCTGTCCTGCGGCTTGGTCCCTGGGCCAGAACTGCCCCTGTGGGGGGCCAGGCTGGGCCCCCAGGGCCTCCCCTGGGTCTCGAGGTGGCCTCAGCTTTCCTCCCCTGCAGGAAATCGTGACTATCGTGGTGTTTGGCGTGGAGTACTTCGTGCGGATCTGGGCCGCAGGCTGCTGCTGCCGGTACCGTGGCTGGAGGGGGCGGCTCAAGTTTGCCCGGAAGCCGTTCTGTGTGATTGGTGAGGCCTGGTGGGGGCGGCATTGCTGGAATCGGGGCCAGGGACCCAGGGACAGACTCAGCACTGCGGGGAGCTGGGGCTAGGTCTACGTGGGCCAGAGAGGCTGGGCAGGACTGGCTCCTTCTGGAAGTTTCTTCTCACCTGCTGACTTGGAGTCAGAGCCTGTGGTTAACCTGGCCTAAACGTCAGGAAGAGAGATGTTGTGCCGGGCTGCCCGTCCCGGGCCCTGCAGGCAGGTGGACGATAGTCATGTCCTTCCTGGGTCCCAACAGAGCCCACACCAGGCACTGGGCATACACCTTCCCGCCCCTCTGCACAGCCTCCTGGAACCTGGGGTGGGGGTTTCTCCACGTGGGTGCAGGGGGCGGCCCACCAGCTCACCAGTCTATGCCCGCTTTGTAGATATCATGGTGCTCATCGCCTCCATTGCAGTGCTGGCCGCCGGCTCCCAGGGCAATGTCTTTGCCACATCCGCGCTGCGGAGCCTGCGCTTCCTGCAGATTCTACGGATGATCCGCATGGACCGGCGGGGAGGCACCTGGAAGCTACTGGGCTCTGTGGTCTATGCCCACAGCAAGGTGAGTCATGGCGCCGAGGCTGGCGGTGGGCGCCCCCAGCCAGCAAGGGTCCTGGCCCAGACTGGGCCCCACCACTGCCTGGGGTTTGCTCCGGGAGCCCTGGCTGGAGAGATAGAGGTCAGTGGTGGCTCTGGCTGGAGCCCATCAGGTGTGAACGAGCCTCCCTCCCCTTTCTTCTCAGTGCTTCTTCCCATGGCTTGGTCCATCTTTGTCATCTGTCTCCAGAAAGCTGCTTTTTCGAAAGGCCAGGCCAGGCTGTTTCGGCCCCTGCCACCCCCACCTTCCTGCCATGAACCCTTGGCTCTGTGGCTGGGCGTCTTCTTTCCTGGGTTTTTAGTGCCTGGATCAATACATCGCGCTAGTCACCTGCCTGGTGGTGGTTTAAGCTGCGGCTTGTGGCGGCTGCTGGCCGGGGAACCCACGGGGTGGCTGTAGGCACACATGCTGAGTTCCAGGGGCCCCAGGCCCCCCAGTGACCGAGACCCCATCCTGCCAGACCGTGCTGTCTGTCCACCCTGCTCACGGGACCCCCTCCTGCCAGACCGTGCTGTCTGTCTGTCCACCCTGCTCACGGGTGGGCTCATTTGCTCAAACGGCCCCTCCCCATTTTCTTCCCTCTTGAGCCCTGCCAGGGTGGTGGTTTTGGCTGCAGAACAGGCAGGGGTCAGCCCCCAGTGGCCCCCTTCCTTCCCTGGATGTTGTGGGGGTTGAATGCTGACTGCAGTGGTCACCTTTTTCACATCTGTGCCTGGAGGCCCAGGGAGATTGGGGGAGGGTCTCAACAGCCCCAAGATTCTCCAGCCCTGCTGGCCACCAGAATAGACGCTGCTGACCCTGGAGGAAGTAGTGGGCCGGCCATGCGAGCCGCTGTTGCCCAGGCCAGGAGGCACAGGGGAAGGGGCTGCTGTAGCTAAGATGGTGAAGCCAGTGGCCCCTGCAGGTTCCCCTGTGCCAGCCCTGCCACTAACCCTGGCGTGGAGCCTCTACTGGCCTCAGAAGGGTCCAGCCCCCATATCCCTGGAGACAGAGCCCAAAGTGGGATGGCTGGCGAGGCTGCAGTGCTCCTGGAGGCAGGTGGCGGGTGGGGATGGTAGTGGTGGTGATGGTGGTGGTGGTGATGGTGGTGGTGGTGATGATGATGGTGATGGTGGTGGTGGTGATGGCGATGGTG